CTGCTCAGCTCGGGCTGGACTCGAACCGCTGTTGCTCAGAGCTCAAACTCTTGAGCGAGCTCTTAACCAACTGAGCCACTCGGCCGGCCCTCCCAGACAGAATTCTTAATTGTCCACCTTCAAATGTATCTCTTCCTCAAAAGATTTTCCATTTATTAAATGGCACCACCAAAATGAAATCCAGGCAGCCATCATTAACCCCCCGCCCCATGCAATCAATTTCTATGTCTCATTAGTTCTAAATCCAAAACATGTCTTGAATTTATCTACTTCTTTCCTACTCCATTGTTACCATTTTAGTCTGTGTTACCTTCATCCTAAAACTGTTTTTTACTCTTGTCTCCCTCCTCCCATTACAGATAAGTTTCTCATACAGTAGCCAGTGAGATCTTAACATTTACATCAGATCACAACAACCCTCTGCTAAAATCCTTCAATGATTCCCCCTTATCCTTGAAATGAAAATGGCCTTCCATTACTGTGCAACTCCAGCCACACCGGCCTCCTTTCAATTCTTCCAACACCAAGTTCTGCTATGTCTTAGGGACTCTGCTCATGCTGTTTCCTCATAATGCTCTTCAAATTACTATTTATTTTGCAACCTTCAGATCTCAGCTTCAATATTATTTGCTCAAAAAGGTCTTTCCTGACATCCTTTTAAGAGGTTTTAGAGTGTCTTTTATTGGGTTGTCGGAAAAGTCATGATGTATTTTTTCTGTTTTTCGTTGCAAAAATGCGTCATGACTTTTCCGTCAACCCAATATATTCTTTTGTGCTTGGTACACAGCAGGTGCATAACATTCTTCCCAATCTGATTTTTTCATTGAGGCTGCATCTTGACTTTGCTCTTCTGCAGTGCCTCTTTTGGTGGTCCAGTTACAAACCTGACACCTGCACCTACGTCAGGTCTCTCCTCCTATTAGGTCTCTCTCCTAACACCCTATTTATAACATCCTTATCACAGTCTGTATATTAATTTGTGATTCTTTGTCTAATGCTTTCTCTCTTAACAGACCGTAAGCCCAACAAGGGCTACATCAGGACACTCGTCCAATAAAGGAATTTAATTATTATGTACTTGCAATGACTTCTTCCTCCACCCTCAATTCCCAAAGCTTATTCTCTCAGTTCAGGTATACGTAGCACTGTCTTCAAGATACTATATTGTACCTAAATATAAGGTAATCTTCTACTTTCCAAAAGAAAAATTCATCAACAAATGTGTTTCAGTTAACATTTTCTGAATGAAGATCAAACAGTCCAATGCCTATTGATTAATCAATTCAGTTACACACATATATTTTAACATACTGTGGACTGGTGATGCAGATTTGCGTCTATATATTTAAATGCCCCGTCCTCAATGTGTTAAACATCACAAAATATATTTAGAAATTTTATTTTTTTCTATTCTCACTGAATAGGACAATTTTATTGAAACTGTTTACATATTATCTTTGACATCAATGAAGCCTTTTTTGTCATCTAACACAATTTTCCTGACCACCTTTAATTTTAAGTTATTTGAAATATGGTACTCTTTGAGTCCATGTTACATGTTGTCCCTGTACATCTTATCCCAAGCCAAAAGTATGCCTTCGCTATCTAATGATCTCTAAAACGACATTAGGCGTATAGTGCCCACTTACTATACTACTTAATAATGTGATTTTCACAACACTTGTTTACAACTGCATCCGACACTTCTAACTGTAAAGCCCTCCTCCTAGGAATGATTGATAAATCTATTTAAATGTATTTGCTTTTTTTAGATCAATTTTATCAGGTTAATTTTATAAACATCCAAATTAGCATTGATTGAAGTTATTTACGTGTTTCCCAAATAGTTATATTAAAAATAATTGACAATTTCTATCTCACAATAGGAGAGATTTTTGTAAAGACTTGAGGGGGACCAAAGTTTTGCCACCCCAAAATGTGCCTTCTGGGATATTGATTTTCAGCTGATTATTAATAAACAAAAGACTCAGAACCTTTGACTCTCCCCCCCTTACTGACTAAAGGAATTCAGATGGAAAAAGGAGGGGAGCATCACCTTAGCCTCAATATAAACTAAATGTGGCAGAAAGTGAGAAACCTAGCAAAGCCTGTTTGTTGAGCTTCCTTCTATGTCCCATTGTTTCTGGGTGGCCCAGCAAGAATTTGTTTACCACATGTTTGCTCTTTCTTGTCTACCTGTGAATTGCCTACTTTTCCATTGAAACCCCAGACCCCTGCCCCACTTCACCTTTGTCCAAGGTGGATTATAAGCCTCAAATGCCCAATGTGTCTTCAAGTGTCATTCTTACGGCACCCCCTCATGTACATCTAGTAATAAATTTTGGACATTTTCTCCTGTTAATCTGTCTCATGTTTATTTGATAATTAGCCAGCTCAGCTAGAAGAAAATAGAAGGTTGGGGGGAAAGTTGGTTTTTTGCACCTCCACAGACAAGTAACACTTTTTCCATGAGAAATAATTTGGAGGAGCTTATATTTAGGCTTACATGGTATATATCACACTTGCTATTCCATGTTAAAACTTTAAAGAAAAAAAAAACAAAGCAGAAAACAGTTGCTCTCATCTTTTCTCTCAATTTTGTCCTATGCCTAGTAATACCTTGAGTTATGCCAAGAAAGGAAACAACTTTCCAACGTACTCTCATTCCTCATCATAGTTAAAAAAACAAACAAAAACCATAGATAGTATCTTATTTATCTGTCCTATTTTTATTTTCCTTCTAATTCTTTCGCAGTTTCAGCACTATCCCTGATCAGCTGATCTTTATCACTGTAGCCAACGTCACTTGCTCCAGATCCCTTCCTGAATGGCGTCTTACTCGTAAACTATAAATCACAACCAAAATTCTCACCTAGCCATATCCTAAAACTTCTTACCACCATCCCTGAACCTAATGGACAAAGGTAGTGTGAGAAAACCCCAAGCAAACCAAATTTGACTTTTAAGCCTTAAAAATACCTGTGAATTACTGCCAAGAGTACTTTATGGAAAAAGAGGAAACCTGAGGGGTACTATCTAGGAATAGGCTACATATTTCTTTTCTTGTCTATGTTTTTATACAAGTTGAAATTATTATTAAATAGTGGTTATAGGCTAGCAATACAACTAGTTTATCATTTTAGAAGCCTTTTGGGGTCAGAGAAGGCAAATGTATCGATTATTAAGACAAAATTACAAGAATACGAGACAAATTAAACAACTGAGTGACCTACTTACTCATTTAAGGTACAGATAGCAACTTCTAATTTCATGTTCGGCCTCAAAAAAATATATATTAAAAGGGACTCTACTCGTAAGAGGAATATGGATGTTAAGACATAGCTTTGGAAGCACTGGTACAACTTACAAACAGGTAAATTTCCTAAGATAGAATCCAACATTTTATTAATTCAAACAATAATAGCTGCAATACGTAAAGGGCTAGAGAAGCAGCCAACTAGAAGAAACTGGCACCTCATCCGGTGAAGAAAAATTAAGGAACTATGAAGTAGTAATGTATTAAAATATTTACTCTTTTCTATCACAGGCCTATTCAAGGTTAATACGAATTAATTTCTAAAATCGATTTGCTTTGTAACTTCAGAATAAAGGAAGTCCATGGCTCAATGACAGTAGTTGACAGAGGTCAACTTTTTAAATCAAGTCAAAGATCAAACGGTGGGTTGAAAGTCTCCAGACCTGGTCCATCACCAAGGGACAAAAGATTCAGTTTCTTCAGATGGCAGGGGGGAAATGACTTGGCACTGCATCACACACTTAAAATCCAATAGGGTTCCTGCCATGCCCACAGAGCAGTGTGCGTCAAGCCATACCTTGGTGTGGTACGGACAGTGAGATAGATGGAAAACCCACTCTTGGTCTTTCATTTCCTGGACGCCTTATAAACATGTCCTGAAACACACGATCCCTATCAGAGGCTATGGAAAAAACCCAGATTTGCTGTTTCTACCCGCCTCCCCTTGTAAAGGTGCTTGCACCTTAGCACTGGGCCTTGGGAGTTCTCGTCTCACATTATTGTTCAGTGGGAAATTCACCGAGCGAGAAAAGCAACGTGGGCTAGCTAGTAAGTCTGTTACCAAAATAGAAATTAGTATTAAAAATACCGATCCCTCCACCCTCTCACATTAAAACAAAAACAAAACCAAACCACCACCACCACCACCCCTCACAAACTTGCTCCACCATAATGAATACCGCGCAAGCTCTGATCAAATGTGCTTCCCAATCACCCTTGAGGTAACAGGGCACCTGGGGCGAGTTTCCCCCCGCCACCCCTCCGCCCGCCCTCATCTCTCACCCCAGCCAGGACCAGGCCCCTAGACTGACAGGAGCGGCTAGCCGGACGTCGGCTCGGAAAGGAAGGTATTATCGCCGAAGGCCGCTCACACTATGGGCAGAAGTAACGTAGGCCCAGAGGTAACATGGCTTAGGTTGTGGGCAAGGCCTCCGAACTGACGAGAAGACAGGCAGGACCCGGCATAAGAGGAGGCGGGAGAAGCAGCCGGGCCTAGGCCGCACCAGGCCGCGGAGTAGCCATACGCGGCTTCCCGACTGGGACAGGGAGCCAAGCCTCAGAGAAGAGGGTTATCATTACCTGGACGGGTTCCTGCAGCACCGTCATCCTTCAGGCTCAAACCCACTTTCTGCAGTGCCTCAGGCCCCCCCCGTAGCGGCTCCGGCCCGGCCAGCCCCGGCTCATTTAAACTCACCAGCGACCGTTACCGGGGGATGGGGGCGGCCGAGCGATTGCCGAGCACCTCCGAGCGGGACACGGAAATACCCGAAGTGGAGAGATCCGCGCGGGAGCCAGACGGAAAAGCCCGAAGGAGGCCGGAAAACCCCGAGAACAACCGGCGGAGCAGGAGACCGTTGCCGGAAATTGTCGAGGATTATCGGAGACTACCGAGTCTGACCCAGAGCACAAGTTCCTCTTCTCGGCCACGCCTTCACTCACGCACGCCACGCCCAATCGACCTCCCCCGACTGAGCCACGCCCAATCAGCACCCTGCAAGCTGGGCGTGCCGTGCTGGAGCTGGCGGGGAGCCTTACGTGTCCGGGCTGCCGTCTTGATTCGCCACTCAGCCTTTCTGGATTAATTGGTGTGCGGTCGATTAAGCAAAGGGTAAAACTCGAGAGTTTGAATCTGACTTTAATTAATCATGAAGTATTTGCCTATTGAGCTCAGGTCATTTATTCATTCCAGAAGTACCTATTCATAGCTCAGAGGGAAACAGGAAATTTGGAAAGATTTGCCACCCTTTTAGTATGGGCCCTGTCCTCAAAGAGATTACAGTCTATTTAAGGAAAAGCAATGTAACAGTGCTGCTACCTTGTGTGGGGCCAGTTATAAATGATGTAAAAATTTAGAGGAGAGGGAAATGAATTGGATTAAGATGAGGAACCTTGCACAGAAGGGAAAAGGGGGATCAGTCTGGGAAGCGTTAAGGCAGTAACTGGGAATATTACGTGACCTGATCATGGAAAATCTCAAAAGGCAGGCAGAAATTTTTATTTTTGATAGGAGAGGCATTCTGGTGTATTGGAAAGAGTGCAGGATTGGAAATGCAGAGGCTTGCTTTTGAATTTAATTTCTGGCACTACTAGTTTTAGGTCCTTAGGCAAATTATAAACTCTGTGAACTTCCATTTCCTTAGTCTGAAAAAAATAATATAAATACATTAATGTATTTGACTCTGTCTAATACAGTAGGCTCTCTCAAATTACTTTCATGCTCCCTCCCCCCAAAAATGTTTGAACCAGAGAACTAGTAAAACTTTGTTTTTCAGTAGATGAGGAAAACAATTTTTGAAGGTTAATTTTCTAATCAGAACATCTCTAGGTTCGATGTGGTACTCATGGTATATTCTACTGTATGAAAATTTTCCTTTCTAGTTCTCATTTTATGTAGATGAAATCAGATTAGAAGGGATCATTTTCTTTTGGGTGACTTTGGTGGGAGGTCTTTTTTTTAAACACCAGTCAACAGAGCAACTTGTATATCCACCAGCCATCTGTAATCACTGCTTATGTACTTGTACCCCATAAAGGGTAGGTCTAAGGTGATTTCCTGCTGCCCTGTGCCCTGTTCTTTTAGCAAGGTTATGCTGGATGAATTTGAATGGAAATAATTTTCTACACTGTCCAGTACAGTAGCTACTCACTATTTAAAGTTCAGTTAAGGGCCTGCTGAGTGGCTCAGTTGGTTAAGAGTTGGCTTAAGAGCACGGGCTCTGAGCAACAGGACCGCCAGTTCGATTCCCATATGGGCCAGTGACACTGCGCCTGAGCTGAGCTGTTGCTGAGATGCCAACAGGTGGCAGGATGGCTCAGCTGGTGTAACAACAAGATTGCCTGTTCAATGGTGGGCTACGCCCACCCACAACTAAGACTGAACTCGGCACTTGAGCTGAGCTGCCGACCAGATGGCTCAGTGGATAGAGTGCACGCTCTTAACAACAAGGCTGCTGGTTCGACTCCCGCATGGGATGGTGGCTACACCCACCCGCAATTAAGACTGAACACAGCACCTTGAGCTTAGAGGCACGAGCTGCCGCCAGGAAGCCAGAATGCAACTGGCGCCCTCCACAACTAAGATTGAAGAACAACAACTTCGCTGGCCCCCCTTCCCTAATTCCCCAACAACTCTTCCCCTCCCCCAACTCCCCAATAAAATCTTAAAAAGAAAAGTTCAGTTAAATTCAAGTGAAATTAAAAATGAAGTTCTTCAGATGCCCTAGCCACATTCTAAGGACTTAATAGACATGTGGCTAACTCCCATATTGGATAGCACAGATATAGAATATTCCCATCATTGGTCGGACTGGGGCTGGAAGATGCAAGAACTCACATGTTTGAGGCCTTGGTGCTAGCTGCTTACTGAGCCCCTCAGTTCTCCACAGCTATCCGTCAACCTTGGCTTCTCATCCGTCAGTAGTTTAGCTCTAGCTTCTTGACTTGGTGGCTGGCAACCAAGAGGATGAAAACAGAAGCTGTGGGGCCCCTTAAGGTCTAGACCTGTAAGTCAAACCCTATCACTTCTTGTTGATCAAAGACACAGGGTCAGCCTGCATTCAACTAGAGGAGAAATAGACTCCACCTCTTCATGGGACAATTGATGGCAAAGTGAAACTCCAAAAGGCATGTGTGACGAGAGAGTTTGATAACTAGGCCGCATGTGTACATCTACCAGGTATAAGATGAGAGAATCTCATAGTGTTAAATGGAAAGAAAGGGACAGGTAAGATATTATTCTTAAAATGTGATGCATTTAACTGAATACAACACTCCAGATTAATTCTAATTAATTCAGAATGCAGTAGAACTACTGATTTTAGTATCTGGACACTTCTGTTCAATAGACAGAAGTTGTATTTGCATTTCTTAGCAGTCGCATGACACTTTGCTTATGCTAAGCTTGTGTTTATTTCACAAACAGCTCTTTTTCCACACAGCATGCTGCCAAACCAAGTCTTATACTTGTGCAGTGGATGCTTATAAGCTTAAATGTAAGAACTTAAAACACAGGATACATAAAGATGACATTTTTGTGTGTGCAAAAATGTGCATCAAGAGTCAGCATTTAAACAGTCTGTGATGTCTGGCACTCTGGCTCTGAAGCTTAGAATTTGCCTAAACCTTTTTTCCACCCTAAAAAAGGACATCTTTTTTCTGACTATTGTTCAGTGAGCTAATACTTTGGTGGTGATTTTCTATTCATGCGCAGCAAGACCCATTGTTTGAAGTTGTTCTTTGATGGGTTCTTTTAGAGGATTTTTATTTCTTTCTCTGTGCCTGATTGACCTACTTAAACTCACCATCCCGCAAGCACTTGGGCATCCTGCTGTCATCCGTTATCTATATATTGTATGTTTCACTGGGTGAGCGGAGTTGGGTTACAATAAGCATTACCCCAAACATGGTAAATTATCGCTCCTCCTTAGCCTGCCTCTCAGTCTTTTTTATGTTCAATCAGATTTGGAGGCCAGCATTTAGGAAACTATTCACGAAGCTAGACGTGGTATCTTTGGCAAGATGCAGGTACCGCTGAGACATAGCCCAGCGTAAGCTTACCTCTGAATTCTGAATTCCTTCAGACCTCCTTATCTGTACCCTTCTTTTGTCCCTGTTGCATGCTGCCTTTTATCCTCCTTATATAACCTCACCTTGAGGCTCTTTCCGCCCCCATGTTGGCTCCTCTTGGTGAAATTATCCCTTTCCTTGGGCACCTCTGATGACACAGTCTCCTGGTTTTCCTTCTACTGCTCTGTTCTTTATCAGTTTCTGTTACAGCCCCCCTAACGTTAGAATGCTTCTGCTCTAGGCCTTCTCACCCTACACATTCTTCCTTGGCAAACCCATCCATTCTCATAATTTTCATCTAAAATTATTCCAGAATCTGTCCAGTCAGACTCTTAGAACTCCAGACTCAAATGCCTAGTTGTTGACTGGATGTCTCTATCTGAATATCTCACAGGTACTTTGTTCCCAGTGAAACTCCTCATTCCTCATACTTGAAATATTTCCTATCCCTGTTTAAGGCATCACCATCTTCTCCATTACCCAAACTTGAGCCCACTCTCTTTCTTTAACCCTAGCATCTAGCCACAAAGCCCTACGAATTTTACCTCCTAAATATACCTTCACGTCTCTTCCTGGTTCTAGTTTTACCTACCTCCAAAAACAAGTCTGATCATGTCAGGACTCCCCTCCCTAAACCTTCCCCCATCACTCAGGATTTCCCATTGTTCTGAGGATATAGTTGGATATAGTCCAAACCCTTTAACTTGTCATATAAGGCCCTCCAAGGTCTGGTTCTTGCCTCCTTATTCAGCTTTATCTTACCTCCTCTTTTACTCTGCATTCCGGTGAAGAGATCAGAACATGCCACTTTGGCATAAGGATTATTTTGAGCTGAAAGCAATTAAGCAACAGCAAACATAGAAAGAGCTCTTTGCCCTCCCCTAGCTGCCTAAAAGCAGGACATAAATTTCCCTTTGTGAAGGTGTTTCTCTCCCCTCTCCTATACCAGAAGGAGGAAAACAACTATCATCACTGGAGACAGAGTTGGCACTAAGTTGGGTCTGCACAAACAAACCTAACTAAAATAACCCTTATCTTTCATAAGTTTCTCCATATACTTAACCTTTCCACAATTTACCACTCCTAGAATCTCTAACCCTTTCTCCTTGGTCTTGTCACTTGGCCACAAATTTATTGGCCCAAATTCTAACCCCCTCTTTGAGTTACTTATCACTGAATTCTCCTGTGTGTGTGCATGCTGCATATGTAAATAAACTCTTGTTTTTAAAATTCTGTTAATTTATCTTTTGTCAGTTTAAATTGCAGGGTCCCAGATACTGAACCTAAGAGGGTAGAGAGAAAAGTTTTTTTCCCTCCCCTTCACCAGCTTCATGGAAGTTCTTGACCCACTTTCTTGCCTCGGAAGCTTTCCATGTACTGCTTTCTCTGTCCAGAACACTCTTAATTCCACTCTTTTCCTGGCTATCTCTGCCCATCCTCCAAATATACTTCTTCAGGCTTTTTTCTGGCCTACTAGAATACAGGGATAGGTTGGCTATCCCTGCTATTACTCTAGTGCTACCATACATGTCATTACTCTCATCACCAATTACTGTCATTACTTGTTTAATTATCCACTTCCTATCTAGCCTATAAGCTCCACAAGGATAGAAGCCCTGTTTGTAGTCTCCATACTTAGTACAGTATCTGGTACATAATTGGTACTCATTCTTATTTGTTTAATGAGTGAATGGAATAAACTCCCTCTGTTCCTAGAATTATATTTTGTTTATTGATTGGTATTACATACTTAATGTTTGTATCCCTTCAAAATTCATATGTTGAAGCCCTAACCCCCATTTTGGCTGTATTGGATATGGGGCCTTTTAGGAAATAATTAAGGGTAATGAGGTCAGAAGGGTGGGGCCCTTATCCAGCAGGATTAGTGCTATTATAGGAGAGGCACCAGAGAGCTCGCTCTCTTTTTCTCACCACCCTTCC